TTAGTGGTACAGAGTATATTATGAGTTATGTGTTCTAAATTATAAATTGTTAAAAAACTATGTTCAAAGGACATATATATTCAATTTTTTGTAATCAGTTAACATATTGTATAAATCAGCAATAACTCTAGGTTGAACTATGACCTTCGCTGCCTAACAACCTTATTAATAAGTAATAGTTTTTACAATGATTTCAGGTCATTGATAGCAACGATCGTGGTGCAGCATCGATCGGAGGTGGTAGCAAGGTGGATCAATGTGTATCAAGCATCAAAGCATTAGTGTTAGCATTGGCTGTTTGAAATATTTAAATTTTTTTAGAGTTCTTATTTTTTAACTACTGGCTTATTTTGTCCTCCAAATTTTTTGTAAAATTTCTACCAGAAACAATGTTTTAATAAATTTGCTTTTATTTTTTTAATGATTTTGGTTTTAATTGATGACAAGACATTTGCAATACATACTGAATGTGATGTGGTAGTACATCAATAACTAAATTTTAAATTAAACATTAAATGATTTAATTGAGTGAAATAAATTAAATATTAAGTTGAATGTTAATTAAACACTAACAATTAAATTTTTTTGTACTTAAATTAAGCTTTAGGAGGACGCCAGTGAATGATTGGATTGAGGTTATCGACAAAGCGCTGGAAAAATGCTTGAAGAAAAAACCAGCGGGGCAAAATCTGGGTCTCGATTCGCTTATCAATGTCGGCTGCCGAAAGGTCAAGACCTTGGTCCAGAAATTTTTTTACTTTTAAAAGCAGAAACTGAGATTATTACGCTTAAATTGAAATCAATAAATAAAATTCAATCAAATGTCAAAATATGTACTTTGTTAATTATTCATATTTTATTTTAGGTTATTGCGGACACTACGGGAACAGCGCACATACAGTTGAAAATAGGATTCGACTTTATTAACAATTTAATGGATGCAATGGTAGACCGATCGGGCCGTTTCTGTGGTGGCGTGCATTGTGGATAAATAAAAATTTTCAAAATTTTCCAATTACAAAAATTTTTGAAAGCTTGCAAACTTTATGAATTTAAATAACAAAATTCTGTCTTGCTGACTGACAACAAATTTTTGTCATTTCTGGGAATTTTCAAGCTTTCAAAATCATACTACTTTCAATTTTCATTTAATATTCATCTTTCAAATGCGACTCTTGGTATGAAATCATTATCTTTGCTTATATTTATCTGATTTTGAAGCAATGCGATAAATGATATTTCCTCAAGTAGAAATTTCATTAGTTTTGGTGATTTATGATATAGAATTCTAAATAGATAGTATTACATAATATCTTCGAGAAAATACCACATCAAAAGATGAGTTTTTTTTCTTTCAAAATTATCAGAACTATTGCTTGCCAGTAATTCTAAAGCATTTTGACAGCGATTAAAAGTTTTTAAGTAACTGTTAAAAAAGAACTAATATATTCTTATGTCTCATCATGTACATTAGAGAAATGGTACTAAAAAGAAGTTTCAATAACAGATTAACGTGTTTCATGCCATTAAAATGATCCTTTTATCATTTTTTTTTTTTGAATGTATAGTTCTTGTTTAGGGTGTAATTGACGATCCTTAGTCGAAAAGATGTTTGTGTGTATGGTAAAACTGATTGAAAAAGTAGATAGCTTGTAATCTAGAATTAAAAACCCGGAATAGCTATGGTCAACTATAAGTACAATCCCTACTTCCATTTTATTAAAAATAACAACGTTGTGGTAAAATGGTAATCAATATTCGAAATGTATAATGAAATGAACACATTTCGAATTATTATTTCGATTCAAATGATAATGTTTTCTCCGATAATTTTCCCTTAGAAACCTTTAATAATTTACAACTTATCTTGTGAGCAGAAATTCTAATTTCGATTTATGCAATCATTCTTATTACCCAATAAAATCTCCAACTTGCACTGAAACCAATGATAAATGGCACTAACGAACATATTCCTACCAAAATGTGAGATTGGAAATAGCTTCTGGAAGTTTACTTCTTTTAAAATTAGAGTTTAAACTTTTAAAAAAAATGTTAGAATTCATTGCTTCTTAGATCTTTAGAATACTAATCTTTAGGATTCTAAACCAATGAGCGTTTGCACTGTAAAGAAAAAGTAGCAATGTGTTTTAACACACTTTGAACCAATTTTGACCACTAAATTAGTTTGCCTTTTTGAGTTCATTCAGAAATTCTGCTATCTCGAATTTCAGCTAACTTTAGATTCATTTTAAAATATTAATAAATCATATCAAAATGTTTTAGATACTGAAATTTTTTTCTGAAATTCACTTTCTGAAATTTAAAATAAAAATGATTACCTTAAATATATGTGATGAAATGGTCCAATTGAGTATATGTCCATAAATCCAATGATAACACATAATGCGAATATAACAATAATGCAAAACAATGATAACACGAAATGCATGCATAGGAGATAAGATGATTTGTAGCGCCATCCCGTATATAAGAACCAGAAAAGTCGTAATTGAGTAAATCCAATGATAGCAAATAGTACGGCTGTAATTATTACAAACTATATCAAATTTCTGAGTCATAACTTAATATCTGTTATAATATATTGTGGTCTTATTATAAATACGCTGATAGACTGATAGCCTTCTAAAAACTGCTTGCTTTTGAGTTTAATTCCTGTCAACATTTCTTGCAATCGCTAGCCACTATTATTAATAATCGCCATTATTATAATAATTGTTATTACTAATTACCAATACTTTTTGATACAAGACAAACCATTAACTGGTTTTTGGAACAACATTCCTTGTAATACAGAATACATAACAGTAAGAAGTGAAATGTATAATTCGACAGAAATTCCATTCAATACTCTTATATCTGAAAAATTTAGGTACAATTACAAATACGAATTTTCATTATTAAAATAATCTCACGACTGAGAAATATCAACTGAGAGGTGCCAGAATATATATTTTATTTTTAGCATAATTATTAAAGTTACTGTGAAGTTTTTTTATCAATTCATTCAGATGGTAATAAGCACAAAAATATGCCAAACAGTAAGGAGGAAGCATCACCTTCAATATGAAATCGATTTCCTGACCTATTCCAATCGATCAGTTTCATTTTCTGCAATAACCGTAACAGTAAGTGTTGCAAATAGCAATGTCGACTAATTTAATTTATTGGTAATTTTATATTTTTGAAATTTGTCATATAATGCAAAATATGATATTATATTCAGAACGGTTATTTCGCATGATTCATTTCTTTTCTTATTCATAAACCGAAGTTTCATATAGAGTAGTTACATTACAGTACTTTTTTTATGTGAAATCACATCATTGCGATATCACCTAAAATATATCAATTTTCCGGATATCTTTCATGTTTCCGGAATACTATAATAAACTGATTATTACCATGCACAAAAATCATTATTAGCATGAATGCGTTGAATTGAGAGAATATTTGAGAATGTTGAGAACATAAAATCAGTTTAAGTTCTATGGTAATGCGTTTAAATTACTTGAAATAAAATTTAAATAAATTTACTGGTTTCAGTCCGCAACAACGAGTATTCCCAATCTTTCGCTGTTTTCAGAAAATTCCAAATGTATGCTGGAGCATTTGATATGATCAAAAAAGTGAGTAGTTTTCGAGAGCCAAATAAAAATGACAAGAAAACTTACTATGATAAACTAAGTAACGGTCATCAAGATCAATTTTATATTAAAAGGAGTAATACCAACAAACTGAGGAATTTCAGTAAAAATCTATCTTGAATAGCAAATACTTAAACTTACTTATTTCATATTTGATAAATCAACCAAATTCTTTTTATTTAAATCATGATTCGAATAAGTTTAAAAGACGGTTAAGAAAAGTGATGTCAATTCTAATGATATTTAAAACATATTTACTAATAGAAATAATCAGATTGCTGCATGTTTCAAAATGTTTTAATCAAACTGATAAATGAGCCGAAGAGACAAATATTAAGAGATACACATGGCAGATGCATTGATGTAAACATGTTTTATCATTTGTCCTTCATAATCGCCAGCTACTTACTCCAAGCAGTTCAAAACGAAACCTGTACACTTTGTGTATATATTTCATTTAACTTTTAAATTTTAATGATAAGAAATCTTGTACTGCGTTATACATAGTCATGCCACATTGTAACAAATGGTGGACATCGTGCCGCCCCTTGCTATTCACAATTTCTTTAATGAAAATTACAAGTTTTGAAAAGCAGATCGGTCAGTCTATCAGAAAAGCTGCAACCCAATCAATAAAAATAAAACGTCAAGAAAAAAGTGGAGCAATATCAATTCTTTAAAACAATGCAAGATATAATTCTGCTCTAGCGACATGGCTAAAACCATGTTTTAAAAAGATCAGAAATCAAGCAACTATAAATTTGATAAGCTATAATGACTGAGTAAAAATAGCTCAAGACACTCAAAAAAAAAAGTGGTCCTTAGAAAAAAGCTAGTAACTTTTTATCTTCAATTAACACTTAAAATGAATTCTGATAAAACTATAAGAATGTAATAATCTTGACACAAATTTTATGCAAAAATTAAACAATAAGCATGTTAAAAAATAAAAAACGATTGTAACTCAGAAACTTATTGGAAGATTACAAAAGCGACTTATACATGGTGTAGATTTCCCAGAAGCAAAAGAAAAGAGAAATATAACATCATTTTTCAATGCATGAAGGTAACTATTAATTCACTCAAAAAAGGAGTACGCATTCTTAACAATTTCCTGAAGTTGTAAAATTTGAACTAACGTCGTTATAGCGAATTCTTTGAAAATACTACAAAAAAAAGTAATGAAATCATAGTCCATAAATTCAACTGAACTTCACTGGCCATCAAAAAACAGTCGAAAATTATTAAAACAACCAAATAAAAACTAGAACAATGCAAAAAAATAAAATAAATAACCGAATATTGTATCTTACAGCAACAATGATAAAAATTTTCTCAAGAAGCCATCAGTGCAACATTTATACCACCCATAATATTTACCTTCCTTCCCTTATACATTTTTGAGATTTCTTCTTCAATCTGAAAATAACAAAAATAAAATTAAAAAACCAATATTACACAATTAAAAAATTTTTCACTTTCGGTCGTTGAGCAATTCTACCAACGAGTTACTAAAGAAACTGTAACTTGCTCCTTTTTGCAACAGTTTGCTAGCTTCACAAATTCCATTCAATGTTTCATGCGCCTTCTGCATACTAATTCGCATCTCACTCTGTTTTTCTATCATCAGATCTCTCATTTTCTCGTAACGTCCTTCTAAAGAGCGCTTCTGCTCCAATGTTTCCACCAGCTTTTCAACATATCTCAAATCAACACGACTATATTTCCAATTCTTGAAGTTTTAAAATCGTCTTAAGATTCTAAAAATTAAAAAGTTTTGAAATTTAAAAATATAAGATTCACAAGCTCATATAAAGGAAAACAATTTTGAGTAAAACCGAGAAAAATTAAAGTTATGCAAATGGTTCAAAATTATTTATGTATAAAATAACTTCGCAAAAAAGCGAAATTTTTTTCTCAGCTCTTTCACAATAAAGTAACTGGAAAGATCTCATTGACAAACTTAGTAAATTATGATTATTTGAAATTTACTGAGGTGAGGAACGTATTCGAAACAAAATAGCCTTTTGAGTATCAATTAATTTATTGATAATCTCGCTCACATGCATCGACCATTTATCAATTTTTTCCACAGTGACCTGCAAGCTTTTAAAACCACTTATTACTAAAACCTGGAACTTAGGAAGGATGTTTTGTTTGCAGAATTAAAAAAAAAAAAACTACCTTTTTCAATGCTGCAGGCCTTTCTTCAATTCCTAATATGTAAATATCGGACACATTTTCTATAGTTTCGTCCTCTCTTCGTATTACCAAAAATTTTTCCAACTAAAAAATAACATTTAAATAGAAGAAGAGGTCGCAAAAATGATCAAAAAAACTATGTCGTTTAACATTTACAGAGAAATTTAATTTAGTAGAAAAGTCGAAAAAAGAAATTAAAGAATTGTGAAATATGGTAGTACCTCTCTCAATTCAAAATAAATAAGACTTCGAGTTTGCGAATTTTCCAGTACTGTCAGTGCATCTAAGCCTCGAGCTATTCCATCGTTAGCATCAACTATAAAGAAAAAAACTACTGGATAGTTCAGAAATTAAATCGAGCCAACAGACATAAGTTTTCACACTTTTAGCGAAAAAGATCGAAAAACAATTCTATTTAACTTACCTTTCTCGTTTTCAACGACTTCAATTTGAAATTTACTATCACAAAAATTAATTTCATCATCAGGAACAATAAAGTCGTCGCCAAAATCTATTTCTTCAGCATTATTTATCTGACAACATATATAACACTTTCATATAAAAAACAATTAATGAAGACTGAATGTGTTTCTAAGAATAACGAAAAATACAAATAAAATGTTAAACTCTTGCAGTAAATTAAAACTGGAGACAAACTCAGCTATAAAGATGTAAATTTAAAAGCTAACAACGTAAATTAATACCTCTTCATTTAACCAAGCATCCAAAGAAGGTGATTCAATGCTTACTGGTTTTATACCATTTTTCCACTCATAAACTGTAACTTGTGCACCTTTTTCCATCAATAAACGGCATAGTGGTAATAAAACATTTTGTGTCTTGTTCCTATACAAAAATGGAAAATAAACAGGAAACAATATATATATATATATATACCATTTATAGCACACATAATGTCACTGTTAATCAACAGCATCGGCTAAGGTAGCAGATGCCATGTAAAATTTATGCAATTTCATAAGCTTTATAATCTGAATAACTCTTCACTGTTAGATCTTCCTTAAACTTTACTACAATCATTTTCAATATAAAATTACTTACTGATGTAGGTATGCCTGAAACTGTTCATAATACTGAAGCGGTTCATTCAAAGACGATATAGACTTTGTCATTTCATCCAAAAAAGATGGTAAATCAGTCAGCAACGATATTATTTCTCGTTTTAAGTGAACACCTAGGAGTACCCGTAATTTCGCTGAGAAATAGAAAATTAGAAATAATAATATTAAATAAGAAAATTAAATGTAAAAAAATTTTAAATCAATACTGAAAAAATGGTATATAAAAAACAATATTTGGAAAATCCAACATTAAAAACTATCCTAAAAAGTTCCAATTTCATACCTTCAATACCCAACTTCCACAGTTCCTTCTCATATTGTTTCTTACTGTCAACCATTTGCCTTGCGTAATCTTTTTCCTTTTTGACACAGTCCTAAAAATTTTAAACTGTATTTATTGACCACAAGCATAAGCACAACTTAAGTGCCAAAACAAATTAAAACAGTACGGTAATTGTTTGGTCACATTTCGAAATCTGCTTTTTTAGAACTGGGATCTCATACTGAATCATCCTTTGAAGAATTTGAGCTGCTTCTGCCAAATGGATATTTCCTTTCTCATACATTTGTTGAATTTGCTGAAAGATTCACTCCATTAAACTTATTTCGGTCATTACATTAAAAATCTAACACGTTCCCGTTTCGAATCTTATCTTACACGCCAACTATTATATCGATCACATGCACTGTTTCACATAAAGAGTCCAATGAAAGAAAAAAAAATATAGTTTTCTTCTTAAATAATGTCATTCATACCATCCAATCATTCATTCTCTGTGATGAATAATATCCTAGGAAATTCTTCGTACCCTTCTCCGTATCTTTTAGAATATTGACAATTCGAGCACAGTGAAAATAATTAATGTCTGAAAGGTTTCTTATAAAGGTTACCAAACGTAGAAAATTTTCAAAATACAACTTGAGATTTAATATACTTATAACAAATACTTTTTTAAATACTTACAGGATCCCTGTAGTAATTTGACGATCCTCTCATCTTCTGGCATATCCCGGATTGCTACGCTGATTTTTTCGCGAATGATCATTACATTTTTTTGCCAGTCCTTATTACAGTGTCGTCGACTTAGCAACCAGTCTGAAACAACAATCAATGAGGATTATTTGAGCGAATGTAATTTCTTTTTGTTTGAATATTTAGCAGAACGAAGTGAATTGTTAACCTACCTAGAAGCTTGCTGCTGTGTATGTCAATCGGTATATCCTTTTCATCTAACATAGTGTCCATTCAAAAGAACTGAAATCCCTTGAAAAATGAGAAATTCCTTTCAGACCAGATCAATAATGTGAAAGAAACAAAATCAATTATATCACTGTCAGCTAAAGCAGCATTATACTGATTAATATAAAATCCATTAAAATAAATCTTCATTTATTGAAATAATTCATTAAATTTTTCATTAAAATAAATTCAATCATTAAAATAAAATCTCATCCCTGAATTACACAGATCACATTAATCCGTACCTGATACAAAACGTAATTTCTATTAATCCACCACGTTAACAAGAAACATAAAACATCACGGGAAATCAAAATGCGAAATTAAACGCGGCCACATTGTGCAAATCCTCTTTATACGTCATTTGTATTCGTTTTTGCAAAAAAAAGAGACAGTGGAACTGATTTCTTTTATTTTGTGTAACTGAAAGAGAGACAGCAGTAGTAGTTATGTGTGTACCTCTGCAAATGCATATGAATGTATCGGTGCGGCCGAAAGTGCTTCTTGGAGCAGTGATTCACAACCGTATTCTCTTCTCTCACTGTGTAAGAAATAAGAATTGGATTAAAATAAACACCTAGCATGTATGTCTCCATATAAATAATTTAAATATAAATGACAAATGTAAATGTAAATATAAGTAATAAATATAAATATAAAATTAAATGTGAAATATAGATATAAAATATAAATACAGATATAAGTGTATAACGTACCGCTTCGATAAATATTTTTTCTTCTAAAATAAACTGATTTAATTTAGAACCGATATTTATGACTAATATTTACAATGAAAATATGAATTTAGTTGAAATTTAAAAAATATATATACTTCAGTTCCAAACATTGCTTTGTTATGATTAGCGTAATTTTTATTTTGAATAAGTTCGATTACGCGCAATTTCAATTTTATCCTCATCAGTCAGACTCTCCTTAAGTTCTCCCAAAATCACTGAAATTTATGGATTGTCATTTCTCTTTAGTTCTGTTGTTCCAAAACTAAATAGTCATCTTTTCTTATCTAGAAGTTCTATTTTATCTTAAATTCATTCATCTGAACTTTACTGAATATCATTATTATTTTATATTAACATTTATATTACAACCAGTCTAAGTTCAGTGAAATCTTGACCATTTCCAATCACAACACATGGAAGAGCCATATGCTGCTTTGCAATTATTTCGAGAGTAAATCTCGAAAAAAAATTCCAAATTTGCTTTAAGTTTTTATGAATAAAAGTGAAATTGAGCGAACATCCTGCAAAGAGAAAAATAAGTGTTGTCGTGTGGCAGTAATAATAAAAGCTTCCTGCCAAAACTCGCTGGTATTAAAATATGGAAGTCTGCTGAACCAGTGATAATTAGATCAATATTTACACAGCTCCAATAGCTGAAAATAACATGCTTTCGTAGGCTCATATCTTCTCTTCTTCCCGCTCCGTACTTATGAATCCTAATTTTAAAGCTCCAAATAATTATATCCAAAGTGTGTTGTAAAGATATATAAAGATGTAAAGCCGCGGTGTTTTGATGATTTCTCAAAACATTATTTTGCTGATATGTAAATTTACAATAAGCCTGAAATTGAAATGAATTTACTGACAATTCATATTTCCAATATGCAAGCTGCTAATTAATCATTTATGTGAGAGGTAACCTGTTCTACTTTTTACCCTCATATGATGAAGCGATGCAAATAAATTTTGATGGTTCAAATTTCGAAACAAAGTTGTTTGCTTGCCTGTTTTATAGCTCTTTCCCTTGCTGCATCTAAAAACACATTGTTCTTGCTTTTTCACACTTTTTCATTACTATTTGATATATCTTCCTTCATAAGAGAAGCAGATAACTGCTGAATCAAAGAAAGGTGAGGATGAATGTTAAAAGAGAATCTCGAAAGAAGTGCAAATGATCCAAAAGACTTCCAAGCATACGGTCGGCGTTAATTTCTCTTCTATCTATTTATCTATAAGTTAAGTGATTTGAGTTGTATGAAAAATAAATTGGCAAAGCGAAATTAAGTCAGATTATATATATATTGATTTAAGTCATAAATTTTAAAATCGAAGCGATACCCTGGAAATAACAGTTTAGAGTTATTTCACGACACTTTTATTTTAAAAGTACATCAACTCACTGCGGAAAAAAAAAATCTGGTTTTTGTTTCCTTACTTGAACGTCTCATTTTTTTTAAGTTATAAAACTTCTACTCCATATGAAGTTCGTTCACTTTTTTATAATATTTCGTCATTGCACGGATTCAGGAGAGATTAGTCACTAAAACATATATAGTTTTATTGGAATTTTGAAAAATAATATTCACTAGTACTCGGGATCCTTCCTTAACAACCCGGAATCACAAATTCAAATGCAGAGAACCCTGCACACATCTCGAGAATTCCCAGACAACTTTTAATGCACGCAGCCATTGCCTTTAAATTCCAAAGCGAGACATTTTTTTTCGGGAAAGCACGGCTCGGCATTTTGGGTATATATATGGATTGGGGCTTTTCTTTAATTATGGATTCCGATGTAGCGTTACCTCATCGGCTATTGACAAATTTGGAAATTTAGAAGGCCAAAAAACGTAAACTGAGAACAGCATAGTGGAAGGATTTTAGGACGGGGAAAAAATGAGTTCGGAGATTAAGAGTAGAACTATATGTAAAAAGTGCGAGGAAGTCACTTCAAAATGTAACTGTTGTCCTGAATTATGACTGGAATTAATTTTCAAAGTATTAGCACAATAAGTGAGGTACCATATGTTAGTGTCATTGTTTTATTTTGCAGCAGTTATCAGTGTATATTTCTGTTAAATCGTAATTATTACTGATATAATCATATTATCTGTGATTGGTTATGAAGTGAATGGTTGTTTATTGAGTATGGAAGATTGTTAGAAAAAATTCTCAATTTTGTTGCTTCTGCTGCTTCATTTTCTTTTTTTGATCCCCATTTTTACTGTTTCCGTACTTTCTTTGCTCTAAAATAACCTGAGAAAAAATTCTTTTTCTCTCCCCTTTTGATTAACAACAACCTGACAGATATATTTAGCGCAGTCTTCATAAACACTTTCTTTTTGTCCTTTTTTATGTTCATCGTAAGGTTTTAGGAATGTTTTAGTAATCATAACAGGATCAGGAGGAAAAAGTTGAGGAGCTAAGCTCCGGTGAAAGAATAATCGAAGAATGAATTATAAGCCATAGTAGGGGAGAAATGAAGTGACCCTGATAAAAACTAGAAAAAATTAGCACATAGAATGTATTTTTCATGTCTTGATCATCTTTGTCCTCAGTATAATTCGCAAATATTTTAACTAACATTATTCATTAATTAAGAATGAATCACGAACTGCTTGCGGTGATGCTGTGTATATCAGAAAATGTTTTATTTAAGTTTTGAAGTAACTTTTTTTTGGCATGGCTGAGAAAAATGAATGTCATAATAGCTTCAAAAGGATAATTCTCATTACGGGTTCAACAGATGGCATTGGTAGACAAACTGCTCTGGAATTAGCCGTGCGAAATGTAAGCTTTATTTCCCTAATTCTGAAATATTCATGAAGTCACGAATTCATAAGAGCAAAAGTGCTTGTATAAGTGCTCATGCAAGCATGCAAGATACCTCCTTTTAATTTTCTTTTTTGAATTCTTGAAACAGCTGTTGCAACACATCTATGTATTCATGGTGTCCGAGCTTTGATTTTTTGAAACGAGAAGTAAAAGGCTGAGCTCATGTATTTAATAACGTAAGGTTAATCAAATTATCAACCTTATTAGGGCTGTGAGACCTTTTACAGTACTCTTTCACAACCCAGTTTAATTCTACATCTTACTAGATATCTTTCTTTTTTGATATAAAGACATAATCTTTTCAGAAAGAAAATTTCGTTATTGTGCATGGAAGGAACATTGAAAAATGTGAAGCAACCATTGACTACATTATGCGTGAGGGCAAATTACCAGATAAGTCGAATCTTGATTTTGTTGTTGGCGACTTTTCAGATTTGAAAGAGGTGAGTTGTGGAATTCAGTGACCTTATTTTTCATTTGAACTAGTTCAATTCTTGTTTTCTTTGACGATTCTATGCTTTATTTTTTCCATTTTTTTAAGTAAATATTCTATTTTATTAGTAATCCATGATCTTACCCACTACTTATTACAGGTTTCTGATTTGGCTACGGATGTTCAAAAGCGATTTCCGCTGTTGAATGTTCTATTGTGTAATGCCGGTGTTCTTTTACCTAAAAGAGCAGAAAGTCGAAATGGGTTGGAATTAACTTTTCAAGTAAGCGATTTCACTAATGTGCTTAAAAAATGTTTCGACATTTCTTTAGGAAATGTACAGTTTTTGTGCAGGCTTTCAATATGCCTCTCTTTGTTTATTAGATTATATTGTATAGTGCTTTTAGTACTTAATATGTAAATTGATTCGTTTTAACTGAGATTTTATGGATAATGAACATGTAGTGAATTAGAATTTAAACTTCAAAAATTGAAACTAAATTTATTTTATACTTTATTTTACAGCTGATTGTCATAAAACAATGTTTATTTCTTGGATTAGAAAGCTTTATTCTTCTGACATAATGTTTTTGAAAAGATGAGGCGTACTAATAATAAATTTAATGGTCAAACTGAGAATTTGTTTTGAACAATAACTGATAGAAATGTTTGGATTTCCTAAATGCACTATATAAGAATGTCTCATATATTCTTCAGCTTTGTTTTTTTGATTTCGAAATCAGTTTTGTCATTATTTATCATTTTGTCAATTGTGTTTCAGTTTTGAATTTCTAGTACTTTATAAATCACTCTTACTAAAAGACATATAATTTTATGTCGTATACTATTTATCATTTATTGTTATGAATGATTAGATACAATTTCTTGCGATATAAATGGCGATATGTTTGGTGTATTAATTCTTTCAATTTTTCATCTCCCAGTTATGAATTGTTCTGCTTATTCGCTCTGCCATATTCTGCCCGTTCTAC